TTTTATCCCCGTGCTCCCAGTTATTCCTCTGGTTTTATCCCCCTGCTCCTGGTTGTTCCCTCTGGTTTTATCCCCGTGCTCCCAGTTATTCCCTCCGGTTTTATCCCTGTGCTCCCCGTTATTCCCTCCGGTTTTATCCCCCTGCTCCCGGTTATTCCCTCTGGTTTTATCCCCATGCTCCCAATTATTCCCTCTGGTTTTATCCTCATACTCTCAGTTATTCCCTCTGGTTTTATCCCCGTGCTCCTGGTTGTTCCCTCTGGTTTTATCCCCCTGCTCCCGGTTATTCCCTCTGGTTTTATCCCCATGCTCCCCGTTATTCCCTCTGGTTTTATCCCTGTGCTCCCGGTTATTCCCTCTGGTTTTATCCCTGTGCTCCCTGTTATTCCTCTGGTTTTATCCCCCTGCTCCCAGTTATTCCCTGCAGTTTTATCCCCCTGCTCCCGGTTATTCCCTCGCTGCCCCCACCCCCCAGGGCATTCCCACCATCCCTGAGTCAGTGCAGGGATAAAGAACTGGTTGTTTCTCTCCTTCAGGAATGTCCAGGGCCAGCTGGAGACCTTTTCCTCTGCAAACTGGCTCCATCCACCCTTTCCTTCAGGAATTCCCATAGCTTGTCGTGGGGGACTCCATCCATGCCCGAATCTTTCCCATCAGTAAACCAGGGATGTTGCTTCTCCCTTCCTGGTAATTCGTGCTGTAGAGGGGCCCCTTCAGCACTTGTCACCTCCTCCTCCGGTGCCATTCCAAAATCTGGGCCTTCTGGCCACTCCACGGTCACTTCCAGGATTCCTGGATGCCTGGGGTTTCCTCTCCCAGCTCTTTGTGGCCGTGGAGACCCTCCCTCTGAACACCCACCCCAGCAGGGACGACAGGAGCAGCTGGATTCAGTTCCAACCACCTCCTTCACGAGCCTCCAGGATCTCTTTTCCAATTGTGGATTTGGGATCCTCTCTATCCCTGACTCCAAAAGCTGCCCTGGAGTGTCCTGGTGTTTTGTGCCAGAGGCTCCAGGAGGGACCATTGTCCCTGTCCAGACTGTCCCCAGGGGACAGGGTGGAAAATCTCCTGCTTGGATTGCACAAAACTCACTGAGGGTCCATTGGGAAGGAGGGGGCGGAGAACCAGCCTGGAACCTGGAATGTGCACGCTCCAAAATCCCACAAGGTCCCAAAATCCTTGTGTTTCCTTCCTGTCAGTCGGTGGGGATGTGGCTGTCATCCTGTTATCCACTGGGATC